TGTCCTTGAGGACATCTGCGTTAGGCAGTGGAGAATTTTCAGAGGGAAATTAACAGGAGATAACTGATAACTGACATCCATTAAACATGGCACGTGGAACTAGAACAGTCTACCCCAGTGAGCGAAATAAAGGGTTCGGTTCGACATTCCAACCACCTGAAGAAGGGCGGAGCGTACAACGGCCGAAACGTTGTAATAAATATGGCGACAAATATAAGGACAATAGTCCGAATAATGTAAATAGTGTACATAATATCTCATCTCATAAATATAGACAGATTAACGGAAACAGTAATACAAACATATACAAACGAGAGTGTTACAGCAAGAATGTTCAGTCCGAGCTGACTGCTGGAAACCTCCCTCTCAAAAAGGCAGTACCTTCTCCTATTTATAGCTGGGAGAGTCCATGCGTGCGTGGGTAAATTACCATATTACCCAGTCTGTTCCTGATCTATCTATCTATCTATCTATCTATCTATCTATCTATCTATCTATCTATCTATCTATCCCAATGTTGTGGCCTTGTTGGGGCCAGAAATCAAGACACAAAGAGAGGAATTGAGTTAAACAAATATATTAATAGAAACAGTAATACAAACATATACAAACGAGAGTATTACAGTAAGAATGTTCGGTCTGACTGTCAGAGCCGACTACTAGAAAACTTCCCTCCCCAAAAAGGCAGTACCTGCTCCTATTTATAGCTGGGAGAGTCCATGCGTGCGTGGGTAAATTAACATAGAAAATTTCATTTCAGCAACTGCTGCTGGCTTTGTAGCGTTTAGTTTATCTTTTACATATCCCCACAAGAATGGTCCAAGTAAGTTCTGCTGAACATGGAGGGCATTCTTCCGATCCATCCGATTCGCCAGATTTCATTCAGGCTGATGGTAGTAGGGTGTGGCTTCATCTTGCTGTAAATAAAATGATAATGCCACTCAGTTTGAATAATTTGCATTGTTATCGTTTACAAGATATTTATAATTTTAGAAATGACAGTATATTGACATTCCATTATGATCCAAACATGACTGACATTGCGAAGCAGTGGAATCACAAGAAGCAATCAACCTTTCGATAGGTATTTGGCTGCATTCTTGTTCTATAGAAACTTTCATTTCACCAATTGCTGTTGGCTTTGTGGCGTAGACTTTAACTTTTAAGTATCCCCAAAAGAAAAAAACGTCTACAGGGTTGACGTCCGGTAAACGAAGAGTATGTAAAAGTGTGTATATATGTTTTCCTTTCAGACAACATGCATAATGCTCACATTACGTCTGTGAGAAAGTGACTGTAGACGAGAAGCCAGATCAGGACCTATCACATTGCATATCCGTCTCTGGATAGACGTTTTTGAGTCGACGTCTCTGGTTTTTTAAACAGTATATTTTTGACTACCGGCTTAAGTTTTCCGAGTCTTTAATAAAGAAATGTGTCTTTCAACGTGATTGGACGTCTACTCAAACACAGGTATCTTCTAAACATAACGTGTATAGTAATGAGAAATAATGATAAACATTCCTTAAAATTTACTGCTTACTATCAGTAATTGTTGGAACACGGTGTGCGGAAAACTATTATAATTATAACTATAATTATTTATTAATTTTTATAAGACAAAAATTAACTATGTTATACGCGCGCGGGAAGGGTTAAATCTTAATTTCGAGCTGAGGTTGATAGGACAACGTGGAGCTTATTTAGTGGACATTACTATCACCAGACGTAACACCACCAGACTTTTTCTTGCCGGGTGTACTGAAAGATCTTGTCTACAGGCTCAAACCAATATCATTTCCTGGATTAAAACAAGTAAATTCTGATAAATTTCCTTAAATTAATGCAAGAATTTGTCAGGGTTTGTCGAACTGATAGGGTTCAGCGTTGTATTGAACTTGAAGAGGAGTATTTTGATGTGGCCATATTTATAAATTTTCTTAAACTACTGTTATTTATTTTTGTCCAATAAATGTTAGATAAAACAAAACGTCATTGCTTTTGGCGTATCCGGTATATACTCGAAAGTAATGATGATAGCTTAGTTACCATCAACTAAAGAATTACTAGACACTCAATAAATCCAGGCCGATATATTGTTAAACAATTAGTGACGGCTATTAAATAAGGCATGAAAAAGTTTTCAGTCAGTAGTGGAAACGTGTAAGAAAAGCTAAAATTGTACAAAAGGTAATTATTTTTATAGTTAAGGATAATATAAGTTGCAATCCGTATTTATCAAGATTGCAGGTACTACGAATTACAGCCTCAAATTGACGTGACTTTTTAATTCTGTGATGGATTCTGAGGAATTAACTGGCTTTCATTGATCTCTTTTCTGTAATTTCAATTGTCTACAAGTCTTTTTCTTCATATCCAAGCCGATAGAAAGTTTCTCAAGTGAGAGGTAAGATAGAAGAAATTTGCAGTGAAGTAACGCAGACGACAAAAAAGCCTAGGGTTACATGCATTTTTTTCTTTTTTTTTTTTTTTTGCAAAAGTCAATGTAACGCTAGAAAAAATGGCTTACCTCCAGGACGAAAACGTATTCGAACATGTTTGGCATGTAAACTGTCCCAAAAGGAAAAAAAAATGGCGGCTTCGTAGGTCCCATATTTAAAACAGATCCCGGAGACGGATAGACAGACACGATAGTCTCTTTTTACGTAAGTAAATTTTGGATTTCGATGAGGATTTCAAATGTGCATAAGGAGATGACAGGAAGAATGGTGACTACAGTAATGTTAGTTTGCTAGCCATTGAACCATGGAAAAGCAAATCATTGACTAGGTTATACAACTAGATGGAATTCAATGAAGATCAAATTTTGACTCAGTCTCATATAAGACTATATCTATGTGCTATTCAGTGTGGATCAAACTAGGAATCAGTTACATACAAAATACAACTATTCAATGAAGATCAAACTTTGACTCAGTCTCATATAAGACTATATCTATGTGCTATTCAGTGTGGATCAAACTAGGAATCAGTTACATACAAAATACAACTAGATGCAGTTCAACGAAGATCAAACCAGGAATTTGACAAAAATACAACTAGTTGAAGATCAAACTTTGACTCAGTCTCATATAAGACTATATCTATGTGCTATTCAGTGTGGATCAAACTAGGAATCAGTTACATACAAAATACAACTAGATGCAGTTCAACGAAGATCAAACTTTGACCCAGTTTCATATAAGACTATATCTATGTGCTATTCAGTGTGGATCAAACTAGGAATCAGTTACATACAAAATACAACTAGATGCAGTTCAATGAAGATCAAACTTTGACCCTGTCTCATATAAGACTATATCTATGTGCTATTCAGTGTGGATCAAACTAGGAATCAGTTACATACAAAATACAACTAGATGCAATTCAGTGAAGATCAAACTTTGACTCACTCTCATATAAGACTACAACTATATTCGATTCAGTGTAGTTCAAACTCACATAAGTATGTTTGTTAATTAATCTTGCTAATCATTGTTCCAAAGTGATATATCTTTTATTAATATTTATGGAGATTTTCTGTGACTGGATAAGGTGACAAAGGGGATGCGTAACTGTAACTATGGGAAAATAATTCTGAAGATCCTTACCAAGAAATCATCTATCTTTAGCATTGAGGTCACAACCCTTGACCTAGCCATGGGCATCTTAACAAATAGAAAGTCTACATAGCCTGTCATCGGCACATGGACACCACTAAACTGAACAAAAATATCAAAACTAGAGCCATCTTATATTTATTGATTGATTTTTTACGGCTTATCAACCCTTTGCAGGTTATTTAAAGCCAGAAAAAATTTTAGATTGAAAGATTTTTTTAGGAGATATAAATATTTACTGATACAAGTCTTACTAATTAAGCCATTGCTGGTAGGAGAAAAAGCGGATTTATACCTTTGCTAAGGTTCTTTGCTCGTAAGTGAATGCAATGAACCCAACGGAAACTTGAACTCGGTTCTCCTGTTAACAATTCAGAAACATTATCTATTCGACCATCAGCACACCCAAGCCTATCTATTATTCCCAAGCGGTCACTCGAATAGATACTGACCAGGCTCGATGTTGCTTAACTTCAGTGATCGTACTGGAACCAGTGTTTTACCGTGATGCGGCCGCAAGTTAGCCAGCATATAGGGGGATGAATAAAGTAATAATTAAAGAGAGGCATCGGGTGACGGTTGGGGTGACTTCGCGACGATGAAGTTTCAGGAATTGATTTCCAAATGCTGTTGATTGGATGAAGATCTCGATGTGTGTAACAACTCGACCAATCGTAAGGATTGCATTACAAATAATATAAATTCGAAGGATGTGTGAAATACAAATGAAGCCTCTAAGCTAACGCAGATAAACAATAATCACTGTTACAGATTTCAACACCCACCTTAATGGCAACGGAGATGCTGCCTTATTCATTTAATCATTAAAGTAAACATCCTGCGTAATCGCAGAGTTGTCCAGCATTAACACCAAACTTAGGTAAGTGCTGATTTCGAGTAGGAAATTCTCGAAAGGTCATTCTTAAAGTGAAGCAAATTTAAGCAATTTTAAATTATCAAATTTAAATAATTTTTGCAATTCATGATTTTCTGTTCACGAACTGCGGAACTAGGAAAAAAGTTCCGTTTTGACTACTTTGTCATGACTTAGTTTTAAAATGAGTCGAAAACTTCCAGTCTTGAGTTGTAGTACTACGTGTGTGTAATATCTTTAAGAGGTGGGGGGGATGTGTTGCGAATAGGGTAACGGGCATCGTTGCAGAAATGGGAACCGGTAACCCCTCCAGTTCAAATTTAGGCTTTGTCTTTTGCAATCACTTCTGGACAAAAGCCCTTGAAAAGAAATGAACAGAAAAATAGATAGATAGATAGATAGATAGATAGATAGATAGATAGATAGATAGATAGATAATGAAAAATCTGAAAGATAGATAGATAATTAAACATCTGAGATAGATTTATAGCTAGCTAGCTAGATAGCTAGATAGATAGATAGATAGATAGATAGATATGAATAAACTTAGAAATATATAAATAAATTGAGAGAAATATGAATATTCTTAGATATTAATATAATTAGATAGATAATTAAAAATCTGAGGTAGATAGATTTATAGGTAGATAGATAATGAACAACCTGAATGAGAGATAGATAGATAGATAAATAGATATATATATATAGATAGATAGATAGATAATGAAAAATCTTAAAGATAGATAGATAGATAGATAGATAATGAAAACTCTTAAAGATAGATAGATTATGAAAAATCTTAGATAGATAGATAGATAGATAGATAGATAGATAGATAGATAGATAACAACCTGAGGTAGATAGATTTATAGGTAGATAGATAATGAACAATCTGAATAATAGATAGATAGATAGATAGATAGATAGATAATGAATATGCTTAGATAGATAGATAGATAGATAGATAGATAGATAGATAGATAGATAGATAGATAGATAGATAATCAGAGAGAAAGAAGCAGCCAAATGCTAATTACTAAGTGTCAGAAAGAAATAACTAATCGATATGTTCTTGATTCGTAAGCTTTAGACATCATGACATATTAATAGATGTGTATGTATAAATAAAAATAAGATGGATGAAGTCAACACACACTAAAACTGGTGATATCGATGCAATATTTTAACAGATATCAAAGGAGCTTTTCAATCAAAGAAATGGAAATTCAAAGACCAGGTAGGCGCGAAACATGTATTTATGTACGCGAACAACTCTGATTAAATCGCTTAAATTTTCGTTTACGAGACTAAATTTCCAATTACATATTCGGTTACTGAACTGGAACAATACCGCCCGAATTTATAGACACAATCATTTAAGCACAAACAACGTTGTCTTCGAAACAATAACCAAATACATCACGAGGCATGCCAGCAAAAAGGCATTTATAATCATTATAGTTCGACTTCATTCATCCGCCTAAGCCAAAGAACCGCCTACGCGGAGTGAACTAGTTCCACTACCCTAAGCGGAATCTATGTGCTGGTAACGTCACACTTCGGAACGTTGGCTTAATGCTAGAGGACTTGATTATTTAGCGTCGACTGCACAGTCCAGTTCAATTGACTGGCATCGAAGTTTATTTACATCAGACTTTCAATGTATTGCCATTCGGTCATCCTCAGCTTTGGCCACAAACGTCATATTCTCTGCGAGACGTTGTTCAGGTCAGAGTATCGGTCAGTTGGCCATGTTGGCAACTACGCAATATAATTACAAACCGCAGCCGTCAAGAGTTCTACATTATTGCTGTACTTAGTGAATAGAAAATATTCATTGACTGACTAATTATGGATGAATAGTTTGGGTGCGTGACAAGTAGATACTTTTCGATTAATATATCACAAATGGTAAGTAGCAACGAATTGAGATAGATAGATAGATAGATAGATAGATAGATAGATAGATAGATAGATATGAATAAACTTGGATAGATATAAATAAATAAATTGAGATAAATATGAATATTCTTAGATATTAATGAGATAGATAGATAGATAGATAGATAGATAGATATGAATAAACTTGGAAAGGTAGATATAAATAAATTGAGATAAATATGAATGTTCTGAGATATTTTTTTATAATGAGATAGATAGATTGATAGACAGACAGACATGAGTATAATTAAATAGATATGAATTTACTTAGAATGAAAGATACGAATAAAGATATATATAAATATACTTAGTGAGATAGTGTATAATAGTTAAATAGATCTGAACAATGTACGATAGTTAAAAATATTTTATATATTCTGCGTTAAATAGGAATGGGTGTGCTGGGATGGATAGGTAGACTGATAGATAGACTGATAGATAGACTGATAGATAAACTGCGATAGAAAGTGAGTTCAAGTCTATTTGCTACTTATTCTCAATTTCTATCTTTTTATTTTAGGTATTTCCACATTTTTTTTTTATCATTTTCTCTACTCTTTTTTTCTTTCAATTCTTTCTCCTTACACTTTTTCTTTCTTCCTTTCTTTCCCACTACTCTCTCTATCTTTCGCTCTTCTCTTTCATTCTTTCTTTCTTTTTTTCTTTTCACTCTTTCTTCTTATTCTTTCTGTCTGCTTTTTCTTTCTTTCACCCTACTTTTTCTTTCTTTATTTGTTTCTCCTTATTCTTTTTCTACTCTTTCTTTCTTTCTACTCTTTCTCCTTACTGTTTCTTTCGACTCTTTCTTTCTTTTTTCTTTCTTTCTCCCTACTCATTGATTCTTTCTTATTTTCTTCCCACACCTTCTTTCTCACTACAATTTCTTTCTTTCTTTCTTTCTTTCTTTCTTTCTTTCTTTCTTTCTTTCTACTCTTTATCATTACTCTTTCTTTCTACTCTTTCTTTCTTTCATTCTTTCTTTCTTCTCTTTCTTTCTTTCTCCTTACTCTTTCTTTCCTCTTTATCATTACTCTTTCTTTCTACTCTTTCTTTCTTTCATTCTTTCTTTCTTCTCTTTCTTTCTTTCTCCTTACTCTTTCTTTCTTGCTACTCTTTTTCATTACTCTTTCTTTCTACTCTTTCTTTCTTTCTTTCTTTCTCCTTACACTTTCTTTCTTGCTACTCCTTTTCATTACTCTTTCTTTCTTTCTTTCTTTTTTCTTTCTTTCTTGCTACTCTTTTTCATTACTCTTTCTTTCTACTCTTTCTTTCTCCTTAATCTTTCTTTCTTCCTACTCTCTTTCATTATTCTTTCTTTCTACTCTTTCTTTCTTTCTTTCTACTTACTCTTTCTTTCTTACTACTCTTTTTCATTACTCTTTCTTTCTTTCTTTCTTTCTCCTTACTCTTTCTTTCTTTCTACTCTTTATCATTATTCTTTCTTTCTATTCTTTCTTTATTTCTTTATTTCTTTCTTCTTACTCTTTCTTTCTTGCTACTCTTTCTCATAACTCTTCTTTCTACTGTTTCTTTCTTTCTTTCTACTCTTTATCATTACTCTTTCTTTATACTCTTTCTTTCTTTCTTTCTTTCATTCTTTCTTTCTTTCTTGCTACTCTTTCTAATTACTCTTTCTTTCTTCTCTTTCTTTCTTTCTCCTTACTCTTTCTTTCTTGCTACTCTTTACATTACTCTTTCTTTCTTTCTCTTTCTTTCTTGCTACTCTTTATCATTGCTCTTTCTTTCTACTCTTTTCTTTTCTTTCTTTCTTTCTTTCTTTCTTTTTTCAATCTTTCTTTTTTTTCTTGTTACTTTTATTTTCTTTACTCATTTTCATTACTCTTTCTTTCTACTCTTTCTTTTCCTTTTTTCTTTCTTTTTTCTTTCTTTCTTTCTTTCTACTCCTTGTTTCTTTCTTAGTTTCTCCACACACCTTCTTTCTCACTACACTTTTTCTTTCTTCTTTTCTTTTATATTATTTCCTACAATTTTCTTTCTTACTTAATATATTGCTACTGTTTCTTTTCCTTCGTTTATTCTTTCTTTCTCCCTAATTATTGTTTCTTTTTTCTCTCTTTTTTTTTTTTTGGTTTCTTTCTAAATATTTTTCTTTCTTCTTAATTATTCTTTCTTTCTTTCTATTTCATACTCTTTCTTTCTTTCCACTCTCTCTTCTCAGTCTTTCTTTCTACCTTTCCTTTCTTTCTCCCTATTCTTTCCTTCTTTCTTTCTTTCAACTCTTTCTTTCGCTTTTTTTTCTTTTTGATTAATGGCAATCGGCGTAGAAAGCTGAGATCAGAGAACCGGGGGGATGTGCTTCGTTCACTTTCGCTCAAATAGCGTGAGGGGAAACGCTATGAATTCAGACCTTTCCAAATAAAGGTATGAACTCATCTCATCCAGTCCCATTGCGACAGCTATTGGTTAAACAGAAAGGTAGACTCTCAAACCTGAGGAGTGGCAAGCCGTCTTAGAGAAGGACAATATAATCTGTGAATCTTCGTTATCTTTCCCAAGAATGCTTGACAATTCACATAATACTAAGTAATCTGCCTAAATCTGGATGAGGAAGTGTGTTGCCACATGACAGAATTTGATTGATTGATTCGTTTTTACGGCTTATCAACCCTTTGCAGGTTATTTAAAGCCAGAAAATATTTTTAATTTGTAAAAATTTTTTTGTGATAATAACGTTCTTAGTGATAGAAGACTTACTAATTAACCCATATGTGGGGGAGGAGATGTGTTGTTGCGCTTAAGGAAATATAATATATAATATATAATATAACGAACCCAATGGAATTGGAATTTGACTCTGCAATTAACTATTCTGAGTTATTATCCATTACGCCACTTGCACATCCAAGCTCCCGGCATCTGACATTCACAAGCGATCACCCGTCGTCTTAACAACACTTTGCTGGTTATTTAAAGACAGAAAATATTTTTTTTAGAGTCTAAGATTATATTTTTCTGTTTTTTTTTTTTTTTTTTAGATAATAATGATTTAGTGATACAAGTCATACTAATTAACCTATAGCTGGGGAGAAAAGAAATGGATTAATACCTTTTCCAAGTGTTATAAGCACATTGGGGAAGATAACTAACTCAACGGGAATTGGAACTCGGCTTCCCTACTGACTATTCGGAGCCATTATCCATTACACCAGACAAGATTACAGCACTTGTAATCGGACACCTATCTACGTACTGAACAGGTATGACCTTTCTTAATTTCGGTGATCCTATGGGAATCGATGTTTCAACATGATTTGTCGAGAAGCCACCATATTTCAACAACGCCTCTTAAATGGCTTCTATAACGAAATCAACGAAATCAGATACAGAACGAGATTTAAAATCTCGTTGGTGGTTTCTTATTCGTTCAACGAGATCTCGTTCAACGAGAAAATAAAAAATCTCGTTCAACGAGATTTTTTATTTTCTCACTAAAAATTAAGCAAATAATTCCATGTGATATAGCAAATATTTTCTCGCAGACAAAATTAGATTTGGTGGTTTCTATTCGCCAACGATTAATTAAGGATGGTGCGTAGCGTCACGGTGATCGGCCCGAAAAGTGAAGTAGACAAGCCGAGTTCAAATCTCGGCCTAGTCTTTCACTTTTTACACGAATGCAATGAGTGTAAGTAGCCGTTCTAACATAGTAAATATTTTCCTGTCTTTGACAAAAAAGGTTTTTTTTTGAATTCATAAAAATCTTATTATTGAAATAATTTTTAAGGAAATTAGAATTCTCACCTCTACTAGCTGTAAACCTAATCAATGTTATTTAACTTCGGTGATTGCACAGGTTTCTGTACTATAGCCAAAGTTAAACAACGTCGAATTTGGTCAGTTCCTGGATGGGTGACCGCTTGGGAATGCCAGGTTCTGTAAGTTCGGAATTGTTATTCGAAGAACCGACTTCCAATTCCAGCTGTGCTCGTTATATTCACTTACGTGCCAATACTCTTGGGAAATGTATGAATCCATCTCTTCTTCCCCCATCTATGGGTTAATTAGTATAACTTGTCTCACTAAGACATTATTGCCTCTAAAAAAATTTTACAATCTAAAAATATTTTCTGTCTTTAAATAATCTACAAATGCATTGTATGTCGTAGAAAACAAATCAATTAATCAATCTACTCAATGTTATAGCTCTTTCTAATATGGACGGGAGTTTCCTTCCAATCTGTTTTTTTTTTTTTTTTTTTTGGCTACCATTGAAAGTTAACAGCATTATTATATATCTAGTTTAAAGGCAGACATATCATGAGGCATTTAAGGTAGCTTTTGCGAAGAGCTGTTCATTGGAACTTTTGCTTGTTCAGGAATTTGAGAGTTCCTAAGTCTTTGCATATTCTCAGCATTGGAAGCTCTCCTGATTGCCATTTGATCTGGGTTTTCATTTGCATGGAACTTTCTATTCCTCACTGCATCCCCGGCTCTTTTGATTGCAATCTGGTCCTCTGTTGGCGGAGATTTCTTCTTGCGATGCACACTGCTGCCGAATGCGATAGGCAACAATAAACTACAGGAGAACTCAAAATTGATCGCTGCATTTAAGTATTGCATTAATATTTAAGCTTACGTTTTAAAAGTTCAACGATAATTCTTCTGCCGCCACTTAATTTAAAGAAAATATGATGTACGTAGGTCCTTACTTTCCATACAAACAATTATTTTTATTTTTGACTTTCGCTGGATTTCGCAATTAATTTCGATTTATTCCCAAATTTATTTCCACGTTATAAAAATTGTTATCGTACAGAAAATTCGTCGCAATAACTCACGAAAAATTCGCCGAAAAGAGTTGCAGTAATGAAAACACTGACAATTCTATTTGGAACACTGTAATTTGAGATCAGTAATTTTTTTCATTTCAGTATCAACTATTGAAAGTTAGTGTTGTGTGCCTTTAATTATTTTTATCAGTAGAAGACAAAATGGCGGAATCCGAAAACAATCGCAGTAAGGAAAACTTGGGAATCCAAAATTTCAGGATTTTTTAAAAAATTTTCTCAAGGTATCGGCCTGATTCCAAAATGGTATATGTTGGGCTACAGCCTCTTGGAGTAAAGTTGAAAATGTGTGACACACTGACATTCACATTTATTTATATAGATTATTTTCCCTTCTACTTGCATGCTTTAGCTATTTTTGCAGTTCTTAAGTAAGGTTTTTTTGCTATTTAGCAAAGCTGTTCATTTGTAATTTTGTAGCATTAGTCTATAGGATCTGATAGCGTCAGAATTTCATTTTTAGGATTTCAAGAATTCATTTGTTTGAAACCATTGCAACCATTAATCGTAAAAAAGACTATTATATACAGATGTTAATATTTCGTTAGAAACAAATAAAAGAGTACAAAGCTGCTATGTAAAATCGGTCCTTCTATATGCTGAACAATCTCATCACAGATAAGGCAAGAGAAATGTGCTTTTACAGGAGGATGCTGAGGATACCATGGTCGGAATATGTAAGCAAGTTTTAGACGAAATGAACACAAATAGGATACCAGATCAGAAAGAGACTATTAACATTTCTTGGGAACATAATGCGGAAAGACGGCTTGGGAAATTTAACACTCACAAGATATATTGAAGGCAAGAGGGACAGAGAAAAGCAGAGAATAAGACAATTAACAGGGCTTGTGTAAATGGTCGGCAGAATAGGGGGCGAGGAGAGATCGAAAAAAAGACAAAGGGCCAGAAAGTTTTGGGAAAACAGGATCGCGCACGTCCTGTAGAGAACGGATAGAAGAAGAAGAAGAAGAAGAAGAAGAAGAAGAAGAAGAAGAAGAAGAAGAAGAAGAAGAAATAATGTAAAAGTTATAAGCAAAAGAAATCAAGGAGAAATAAAGAAGAAGAAGAAGACACTGTTCAGATCTGTTTAACTATTGTATATTATCCAAAGCTATTTATCTATTTTATCGTACATCTATCTATCTATATCTATCTATCTATCTAATCTATATCTATCTATTCTATCTATCTATCCATCTATCTATCCCTTTTCTATCTATCTATCTATCTACATTTCAAATATGTTATCACGTCGGTACATTGAATTAGATAATATAGATAGATCTATCTATCTAGATTTCCCAAATAGATAGATAGATAGATAGATAGATAGATAGATATAGACAGATGAGATGGATAGATAGATAGATACTGAAAGATGAGATAGATAGATAGATAGATAGATAGATAGATAGATAGATAGATAGAAGATAGATAGATATGAAAGATGAAATAGATAGATGAGATAGATAGATAGATAGATAGATAGATAGATAGATACTTTTAAAAATATTAAAAGATCACCAGATGATATGTTCCTTCTCTTTGAATCATCCTCTCTGTATAGACCACTGCGTGCCTGCAGGAAGTCATAGAAATTGGAAAAATCTTTCTTTCGGTTGGTTTTAGGCTTGTTTTCCTTTCCTTTTTTTTTTTTTTTGGCGGGGGTGGTGGTCTTTTATTTTTCTTGCTATATTTAGATTTATGTCCTTCTGTTTATTTTATTTTCATTTATTTTACTTCTTTTTTTTTGTTTTGTTTTCGTCCATTTTTGTTTACTTTTAACCTGTGCATTATCCAAGGCCTGTATCAATTCGTTCTCGAAGGCGATGGCATTGTAGCCTGTATTACGATCTTCTTAATGAAATCCAAGCAGAAAGTCAACGTTACTAGACGAGCCACACAAGCATCCGTGACGGTTAGAGATAAACGCTCTTGTCGCTTGTTATGAAAGCTAGAGTCGCTATGCTTTTTGTCTAACAGCAGTAGAGTCTTTCTGATCGAATATCCCGTATCATTAATTCCGCCACCTCCAAACCCGATTCTCTTCCCTGCCTCCAAGCAACGGTTATCCTTACATCTAACTCCGCTAAGACTAACAACATATCCGATGACAAAAACATGTCTGGTCATTTAATGAGGAACCGTCGTTCCGAAGCTGCAGTCTTCAGGGAGATAAGGATCCCCCCCTTCTTTACTACCCACCTCTCTATATGCAGTTGCAAGAACTGTATGTGGAGCTTGTACAGACAGCATCTGTATGTTAACAGATTGGATAACAAAAATGGCCGGCGAAGTAGCTGCCTTCTAACAAGGATTTGAATGTAGCCAACTGGTCCGAACTGACGCAGACAACTGAAGTAGAGATGATTCCAAGGATTTAAAGGACGATTTGGGAATTTGAAGAGAATTCTTTCGCTTATTTTATATTTCCTATAATTGAAAATATATATATATATTTTTTTTTTGTTGTTTCATCTTATTCTTGTAGATGCACAAAAAATTGTAAAGAATGAAAGCCGTTTGGAGCTAGTTTGAATAATATATGAACCGAACCAAAGTAAAAACGCGCTGTTAGAGATGACTCAGCAGTGTTTCAAATGCATTCGACTTTTAAAACAAACGTTACTATCATTTTTGGCGTTCCGAATTCAAGGGGAGACGACGCGTCCATCTGAAGATTCAAGAAATTAACAGATTCCAAGCAATACTTACGGCTTCTCATAATAAAAATAATAAAAGTACTCCCAGCATGCAACAAAAACTATTTCTGTCGGAAATACGGACATTCCTGCCAAAAGACGTTATATTCAATCTCTTCGTCCAAGAACCGTCAATAAGACAACACGTGTGTAACTTTCGTCTGTCATATGTCTGCAATGCTACAGAGTAAATTGCTCCCTTTTATAACATGTACATTAACACAATTGCAACGTAAAAAATATACACACAAATACATAAATAAAATTGTATGAAATTAACATACAATTTACCATGTTTTTTTTTTCTTTATTTCGTACGTTTATTTTCCCGTTCTTTTCTCGTGGAGACAGGCCTACAATACCTATATCTATGGAGTGAGTAAATGACACACAAAAATACGAAGCGTCCTTTCGAAGCTCACAGAAACTAACGGACTAAATGGAAAAAGTAAATATTGTTTTATGTATGTAAGTGTATCATAATTCTAGTTTGTCTATGTGGGATTCAGATGATAATCTATATTCGTAAGTGTTTCTGCGTGTATGTTTAGTGTACATACACTTATATACGTAAAGCAACATTAGCATTTTTTATGTATGTAAGTGTGTGTCGATTAGACATAGACACACACACTTACGAATATATATAGTAATTTTCTAAGCCCGGCTTAGATGTGGCACAAGGCTGAAAGTATGGAAATCCAGTGAGAATCGAACTCACTACTCAGACGTAATTAATCTAGCAAGACAAGCTTTCTAACCATTACACCACGTCGAGGTGCCCGTGATTTTCTAAGCCCGGCTTAGATGTGGCACAAGGCCAAAAGTGTGAAGCACCCAGTGAGGATCGAATTCACTATTCAGTCGTAATTGATCTAGCGAAACAAGCTTTCTAACCATTACACCACGTCGAGGTGCCCGACTTAAAAATACAGGGTGTCCATAAAGATCGTGTGAACTTTAAATAATTATAACTTTATTTGTATTTGCAATTGAAATGATCTGTAAAAAATGTTATAAAGTTTAATGTACCTAGTTTTAAGTATAGCTGAAATAACTAATGTGATTTCAGGCATTACTGTAAATCAGCAAATGTTTTCCGTGAACTGCAAAATCCTTTTTATTTCTAATGATGGAGGACATGTGGAAATTTAAATAAAATTTCAATAAAACCTTAAAAAATATAGATTTACTTCTTTCTAATCCTTTTTACAAATTATTTCTATCGCAAATACAAATAAAGTTATAATGTTTTTAAAGTGCACACGTACTTTATGGACACTCTGTATATATTATCATGTGAAAAAAAGACAAATTAGAATTTTTATAGATTTACATACATATAGCAATATTTACACTTTTGCAGTTAGGCTTAGCCGTTTATTTCTTGAAACTTCGGCTCTCTTTGAATTCGGAACGCCAAAATTTATGCTAACGTTGGTTTAAAATGTCGAATCCATTTGAAAAATGATTAAGCAATGAAAATCAAACAATAGAAATGTGAAAATACTAGAATTTCTTTCTTTTTTTTCTTCATTTTTTTCTATTATAAAGTTTTTAATAAATGATAAACGTTTCCTTTGTCTTCGTGATCTTATCAGATATATATATATATATATATATATATATATATGTGTGTGTGTGTGTGTGTGTGTATAACACTACTAAACTTATAAATAAGTAAGCCTCTATTCTCATCCGGCAAAACCTTACGTGTTTACGCTTGTAAATGAACAAACTAATACCCACGGGTAAAAAAGGGTAAAAAAAGAAAGAACTAAGAACATGTACTTCCGGCGAAAATAACCGTCTAGAATCTAAGTTCAGAGTCCAAAGAAAAAAACCTCCATCACGAGTAAAGTAAAAATAACTAAACAAAGTGCTCAATACGCTAAGTAGAGCAAAATGAATAAATAAACCTAAAGATCCAGACAAACCTACCTAGGTTTCACCTACGTTGATCATCAGGGCGGATTGACGATCCGCATGTGAAACCTAGGTAGGTTTGTCTAGCTCTTTTAGGTTTAGGTTTATATATATATATATATATATATATATATATATATATATATATATGTGTGTGTGTGTGTGTGTGTGTGTGTGTGTGTGTGTGTGTGCAAAAATCCAAAATGCTGGCTCGACAAATAGACAACGTGTCAAAAGATCGAAAAGCAACAACAAAAGACAAGAAAAAAAGGAATCATTTATAAAAACAACACATTAAGATGCATTAGCTTCTTACAGAAATGTGACTGATTACAATTTTCTTGAAAAGCTTTAAGTATTCCATGGAATCCGTTAATTTCTTGAAACTTCAAATGGATGCATCGTTTCTCTTTGAATTCGGAATGCCACAAGTTAAACTAACGTTGGTTTAAAAAGTTGAATTAAAAAAACATTGTGACCTAGTAATATACATACTTATACTTGATGTGAAAATAATTTTACATACTGTAATTAATTCTAATACATTTACTTATTTTAAAAAGAAATCTAGTATATTATAAATTAAAAGTGAAAATATTTTTAAAATCGTAGTTAAATAAAACGTATTCTAACCTAAACACCTCACAAAAATCTTTAAGTATACAAACAGAAAAAAATTCTGTAAGGATTTTTGCTGTTAACAATAATTTTTTTAAAAAATCGAGACGACATGCATTTAACGGATGTCAGATTTCATTGAAAAATACATCCCTACCCCTACCAAAACGTAACTAATAACTGATACATCAAAATACAGCGATAATTAACTCGCAACCACGCATTGTCTGGACGAATGGATTTCTCTGTATCCTTGGAAACGTGAATTATGAATTTTTGCTGTGCTTTTAAAACTCAGTAAATTTAAAAAATAACTTACTCCAAAATTCGCTTGATGATGAAATGGAACTAATGTCTTTAATTTAATTACAAAATTAAATTCGAAGCTTTTAGCTTCCATTTTTGAAACATGGTTAGAACTGTGTAGCGAAAAAAAAATCATATTTTAAATCAATTAATTTATAATATTAATGCTCTGTAAATTTACATTGAGCACTATTTTGTTAAAATAAAAATATCTATAAGAACACCGGATTATATATCTTAATGTTCTTTCGTTTTATTTATATATATATATATATATATATATATGTGTGTGTGTGTGTGTGTGTGTGTGTGTGTGTGTGTGTGTGTGTGTTAAGAAAACCAAGAAGAAGAGCAAGAAGAAGAAGAAAACTTTAAACTAAGAGACGTTCTTGTTTTAAGCTACTGCAAAGCGCATGCGCGAGGAGTAGCAGCAGTGATGTAATTCTGATTCAGAAATGGCTATCCCAGTAATCGACTGGACCATCTCTGCTATAAACATTTTGTTAGATCTTTATTTACGGTAGGAAAGTTGACAAGGAATTATATTTCTGGTGCCAGATCTACTAATGGCGGATTAGACTAGCAGAAACATGTTTGGCTCGATGCAACAGACACAGAGAGACTGGACATAATGAATCAGTGTCTAATCAGGGAAATTTCAAAATCTTAAAACTATTATTTCTATTAAGATTATTCGGTGTAAACAAGCAACAAATG